CCTCCCCTTTATCGGTTCCTATTCTCTTAATAAAAGATTCTACTTGCACTTCTACCTCTTTCTTCTAAATATCAAATTTTACTAAGGCTTCATCTTTGGAATATTAAAGATACACATAGCAAAACCTTGAAAAAATCATCAATAAAAGTAACTATGTATCTTTTATTTCCCAAAGAAGGTGAACTATAAAAGTCACATAAGTCACTATGAATCAGTTCTAAAATATTAGAACTTCTCTCAACCCTTTTAAAAGGAGTTCTAGTGATCTTATTCAACATGCAAGTAGAACATTTATTAGGAGAAATATCACATGGAGGAATTAACTCTAGTTTAGACATGAAATTCAACTTATTGAAATTAACATGACCTAATCTAGAATGCCATAAATAAAACAAACTCACACCATTGTCATTATCAACATTCAAGCAAACATCATCCATCATTACAAACATCTCTCTTAACGAGAGTTTAAACAATCCATGATTTAAATAACAACGTCCAATAAAAGTGCTACCTCTAGTAATTATACATCTATCTGCTTCAAACACTAGTTTATATCCAAGTCGATTCAGGGTAGGGCCAGATACAAGATTCCTATTGATCTCCGGAGCATATAATGCATCCCTAAGAATGATACCATTGCCCGAACTAAACATTAGCTCAACTTGTCCTCTCCCTTAGACCTTGATGGTTGAGTTGCTCCTCATATAGAGTTCTTCTCCATCAACAACCTTGTGAAAGGTTTTAAGCCAATGCTTCATCTTGCATACATGCCTAGAAGCCCCCGAATCAATCCACCATGAGTCATCATCCTGTACTATAAAAATGTTAGGATCCATTGCATTTAAATCCAAACCGGAATTAAATTCAACCTCACGTAAAGGATTACCTTTGTTGGGTGGGTCCTTTCTCTTAGAAGCTTGGCCCTCCTTGGATTTCTCCATTTTCTTCTTGAAAACAAAGTAGTCCTTCTTGCGGTGTCCAGTTTTACCGCATTCCCAACGAGCAAACTTGTTGTTGTCCTTCTTTTTTTTGGACTTTCCTTTGGAAGAATTGTTATTCTTCCTTTTTCCACTAGTTGAAGCACTAGATTTACCTTCCTCCACCACATTAATGGTGGGTGTGCTAGGATTCCCATCCTTAGCATTTTCCATGGCCCTTATCCCTTCTTCAACTTGAAGATAGGTAGCCAAATCAGACAAAGATATGTCCTCTTTCTTGTGTTTCAATTCAAGTTTCACATCTTTCCAACTAGTAGGCAGCTTATCAATAATACTTGAAACAACAAATAGTTCATCTACACTAATTCCATGTTGTTTCAAGTTGCCATATATACGTTGTATCTCATGAAATTGATCCATGATGGACCTAATATCAACAAACTTGAAATTATTAAAATTACTTACAAGGAACTTCTTGCTAGAAGCATCTGCCGCCATATATTTTCTCTCCAAGGACTCCTAAAGCTCCTTAGAGGACTCCATATGTTGATAAACATCAAATAAGTCATCCTCCATCCCATTAAGAATGTAACCCCGACAAATAAAGTCATCATTATCCCACTTTGATTTCTCACGAACATCTTCCATTGTCTCATTCTCATGTTCTACCTGCCTAGGAGTACTAATAACATAGGCAACTTTCAACGAAGTAAGAAGAAAATACATCTTCTTCTTCCAACGTCGAAACTCCACACCATCAAACTTCTTGAGTTTGACAAAATTAGTGGTAAGTTCTTTCACACTAGACATGATTCTATATAATCGCTTTAGATTGTTATGAAAATACTCCTACTTGTACAATCTCTAGTACAACAGAAATGAGGGAAAATAAGAAAATTACATTATATGTATAAATTCAATTACACATACAAACCAAGCAAAACAAGTCTAGAATGAAAATTACAGAAGAAATCAAACTAAACTACAAGTATGAAAGAAATACACTTGCCTCACTCCAAGCCAATGAAACCAACTAGAGCATGAGAATACCAAGGAACACGTGAGTCTTCAATACTTGATACTCGTCTAAGGCGTATAAACACTTTCCTAAAGCGATTATTTCCCCCACAACGGTGCTTGGGTTGAACCGAAAATTCGCTTTGAGATACAATAGACGAACACTACAATCTTAGCACTAAGAAATGTAGTAAGATGATCAAATTCTCAAAAAACAAACTTAATTGATAGAGATTTAGATGAAGAGATTGCAAGTTTCTTCAAATATATTGTAGAGAAGAGAGAATAGTAGAGAGGAGAGAAAAAAAACTATTTATCTCCATCAAAATGAAAACTCCTTTAATTAAAAGGAATAACCGTAAAACCCGCAGACAAGGGAAGCGGCGCGGGCGCTACTCAAAGAGGCGCAGGCGCGCCTCCCCAAATCTGCCAAAATTTTGCAAGATTCCAGAGACTTGGCGCGATTTTGACACGCTTTTATCGCGGGCCGCGCCGACCTTGTGCTTGCGCGCTGAACAGTGGCGCGGGCGCTCCACTCCAACACTCTAAATCATCAACAGATATAGCCTCCTTTGATTTGTGTAATGTAGGGATTTTAGTGAGGTGGACCGAGTAGGAGATCAGCCCCATCTCCAACCAGTGGGGCGTGGATAGGTCTCGGTTCGACGAATGGTAGGGTAGGGATAGGGATAAGAATGTTAGGCAGGGATGGGGATGGGGATGGGAATGGGAAGGCCAACATTCGCCCTGCCCCGCGCTATTGGCATCCCTAGTGTAATGCAAGCAATGTTTGTCTTCAAAAGTCGTAGTTGGGCCTTTGGGTCAAGGATCACAATCATACACATTCCATGTTGAGATAAATATTGCTCATGACCAACAAGTTAAATACTCTATCTTGTTGTAGAGCATTAGGGGGATGCCCCTCGAGTTACTGGTTTCAAAGATTGATAACTTTGCTAACGTAAAAACAAAACAATAAGGAAACTTTCCCAAAAGAAGTAAAACAATTTAGATTGCTCAAAGAAACGAGTAGATAAACATATGACAAAAGATACAAATGCAATCCATTAATTAAAGGATAGGGTCAGGTCTACAATTGTACAAATTAAACGAGAGGTTACCTCCATGATCATACAATTAGAAAAGACGAACGATCTTCAATACATGCTACGTGATAAACTACACTATCGCTTAGCTACTAAGCCAAGGGAAACTACGAAATTAAAGCTAATAAGAAAGCTTAAAAGAAATGAAATGCTTGTTATTGATTGATTTGCTTACGTCTTCATTTGTTCTTTGCACTTCTATTTATAGGCGAAATTGAGCGGTTATGGCTGACTCCTAAAACTGTTGTACGATTATGCTTATTGGCGCCAACACTTCTTCAAAAATTTAAAACATCCATTAGCCTCCTAAACCGGCCTTTATGTGATATCAACCTAGTTGCTTTTATATCTTGACCAGTTTAGCCCAAAGACCTTTTACTGACTGTAAAACCTTTCTATTCGGTCAAAGTCAAGAAGCTCAAACAAAAGTCAAAAATCTGTTTTTTGGGTGTAACAAATGCCCCCCTAATTCGGGTGGTTGATGGCGTTTGAAACCAACAAAATTATGACTTTTCATACATAAATATAAAGCATTGTGTATGTCTTACTTTGTAAATATCAAAGAACACGGAATGTAAACATTACTTAATATTCATAAAGATAAAATAATTACAAAAGAAGAGCATTTCAAAACTTTTGAATTGTGTATGCTCTTTTAAAGGACTTAAGGCTAAATATATACAACGATATACTATTGAGATGCCTCTAATATCTTGGGTCATCCTAGGGCTACTTTATTCTATAGTCCAGGATCATCGAGATAATCCTCGAATTCATTATCGCCAGGCTCTGCAAGGAGCCAGTTAATTCTATGATGTTCGAAAATCTCCTCGTACTGTAATTGGCAAGCGCATTTGTACATCAGGGTGTGCATTTCCCCCTCTGTACCCCTGGTTACCTTGACTTCGTAGTACGTCTTGGAGTAAGAAATACTCATTGCCTCCAATTTTCCATTGAACGTGGGAGGAAAGATCATTTTCATCTCCTTGGCCCATCCTTTGCAAACCAAGGCAGCGTTCGCCCTATCCTCTTTATCCTCTAAGTGAGGAAGTATGAAATTCTTTAAAAGATCAATGTTTGCACCCACTTGAAAAGCGCTAGGCCCAGCAGGTCCGTCTTCATCTTCAAAATGGCAGGTTTGTTCCCCCAATCGCTTCCTGATCCTCCTGTTGAGGCGATTTCTCTTCCGATTCTTGTACTTTCTCCACCATTTAGCGCATCTATCCATGGCTAAAATGTTGATTTGGGCACTCATTTGGATACTCAATGGATCCATGGAGTATATTGTCGACATAGAACATACCAACTCCATAAACTTCCCTATCAGGCCCAATGTAGCATGTGAATGAGATTTATAAGATCCTCCATGATAATTTCAAAATCCAATTTTAGAAAGTGGTTGAAGAACTCTGACCAATTGAATTTCTTAAAGATAGAAAGTAAGAGAGAGAAATAAAACTTGGCTTAATGAAGAAGGAAAATTTTGAGTGAAGTGACTACTCATGTATATAATCACTCTTGTGTCACTCCTTGACGGTTAAAATTCTCTGTTACTTCAATACTTCGTGGTAAAACCACGTAACTCTCCACATTCTTGAAAGTTGTTTATCCAAAAATCATATTAAGGGGAATGAATTTGGAAATAACCCGTCACAAAATTTACATGGTAGCTTCCTCTTTCAAGTTAAAAATTTACTGATTATTTAATTATATTGGGAATTTAAAAGTGTCTTTCCAATTAAATGTCAATAAATATAGTTGTCTATCACTTGGTAAATCGTGAAAATAATTACTACCCATATATTTTAATTTCTAGAAAAATCAAAAATATATTGGTGTGGGTACAATTATAATTAATCAATTGCATCGCTTGATCAGATGTACAAAATATTCATAACTTGCATTGAACGGTTACCGTGAGAACTAGCCGAATAATAGGAAGTAGGAACTAATTAGGGCCGTTGGACCTAATTTAGATGTGCGCTTGATGAACAGCGCAAATTATTTCACAATCAAGCGAACTTTCTGTCCTCTCTCTCCTCAAGCATTTTCTCTCTCCTCACACCATTTTTGCTAAAACTCGCCATTAATTTTTCTCAAAAACTGCCATAAATTTCTCTTTCTCGTTTGTTAATTTCTTCTGCTGACGAAATTATTCATTGATTTTCACTCGTTTTGAACGAAATTACTTGATGAAAGGTCGAAAAACTAGGTATAATTTCAAATTTTAATTTATGCGAAATTCATACTGTTGTGATAATCTTAGAAAATTATGGATTTTGAACTGTTTTTTTTTATTTGATTTATCGCAAAATTATAATTGCCGACGTTTAGTTTTATTTTGTCAGCTACAATTTTGGAGTTCATCCGATTTCTCAAGTGCAATTTCTTCAGCGACAATGAATCCCTCACGAATTTGCAATATCAAGCTCAAATCCAGGTTTATTTGCATTTTATAATTTTGATATTAAATTTAGCTAAACAATTGAAGTAATAAACAATTTCTTGAGAATTAATTTTGTATGATATTCATTTATTATTGTTACTGATTTTTGTGTAAATTTATGAATTATGAGGAGTATTTGTGAGATTTTCATGCCTGAATTTGCCATTTTTTTTTTTTTTTTTGCTTCATATTGATGATTATCTATCTACTATAGATGGGTATAGCCTTATAAAAGTAGATACAAAATAAGTTAAAGTAAATCAAATATTTCTAGGAGTAAATAGAAATGAAATTCTCCTTTTCTACTTCTGAAATCAAGAAATTGCTATGAATGATTAAGATATAAGATTCAAAACCTTCTGTTATATCTTATAATGCTTGGACAAATGAGCTTGAGTTTCCAAGTACTAAAAGTAGATATAAAATTAGTTAAAGTAAATCAAATATGAGGTTGAACTCCCATTTGACCTGAAGATGCTGCTCTTTAAGGGCCTCCCTTATTAGCTTTTTTGTTTTCTACTTTTCAGTGCTTTATTGCTTTCCATTCTAGTCAAGTTTTTCTAGTTGCTTTACTTTTGTTGATACATATGTAAAATCAGGAAATATAGAAAGAGCGTAGTGTCTTGGACTACAATGATTGTGGGGTTAGCCTTTCATGGGCATGGAAGGAAAGCATTGGAGAAGATATTTTATATACATTGTTCATCATTAACCAATTTTCAATGAGTTTAAGACTTGTTTACCTTGGAATTAAACCAAGGAACTGACTGGCCATATATATCTGCATATATGAGATTGTTGTTTCTCTTGATAATAATTTTAACGAACGGTTTGCAATGGTTTCAAGATATGATATCTAAGCAACATTGTGAAGTCACAGAAGCTAACTTATGGAGTACTCATTAGTGAGGCCATACAATGCCTCTTAGTATTATAAGACGCCTTTATAGTTTATACAAAGTACATTATTTATGAGATGCTTTATCAAGTTACTGATTGTCACTGAAGATTTACTATATGAATTTCCTTATCATGCAGCCCTTAAAATGATAAGCTTAATTGATTATAGATTTTTGTAATTGAGGAAAATCCTTGGGCTCGTTTAAGCATATATGTAATTGAGTTACTAGAAATATAAGTTTCCAAATAACATGTTATCGCTTGCAATTTTTGTAGTCATTTACTCTGAAGTTTGTCAACTTTTGGGTTGAGTGGATGTTCCCATTTGTGCTACTACGGTTTCTCAGTACTACTACGGCCATATTGCGGCAAATTACTCTAAGTTGCGGACTACAATGAGAAGTTCTGGTGTAATAAAGTTGCCTAGTATAAGCTTCATTGAGCTAAACAGTTGCATTCATAGGTTCGCTGCATGAGCGTTCTCACATCTTGAAGCTAAAGTGATTCATGACATTCTTTGGGAGATACACCAGCAATGTACATTGGAAAGTCATGAGCAAAAGCTCTACTTTATAAACATTGTTCTCATCCAATCAAAGCTCTACTTTATCAACATTGTTCTCATATGATGAGAATAACATCATTTTTTTTTTATTTTTTTTTATTTTATTATTATTATTATTTTTTTTATTATTATCACTAGAGAAATACATCGGTTGTCTCTAAGAGTAAATAAATAAGAATATAAAGTAAATAAGAAAACGACTTTAACATAAACCTATTAGCTCAAGTGGTAGAGCACTATGCATATGCATAGAGGTGTAGGTTCAATTCCTACATAGGTTATCTCTAAAAGTTAATATAAACCAATTTGAAGTAAATCAAAATAACTTAAAAGTAATTCATATTAACTCTAAGGTGTATGAATAATTATTTGGATTTCAATGATTAGTGACTATGAAACTTTGAGTATAACGGAGATGCCAAAGGGTTTATCAGTCGTATGTTTATGTAAAGATGAAAGGCTGAAGAGTCGCAGAATGCAGAGTAAGTTAGACGCTTAAAGCTAGATAGGTTTAATGAAGTATAAAGGGATCCTCATCTACTGTAGAGAATATCATGATACCTCTCCAAAATCTTAACTCTATGGGCCAACAATAACAGAAGATATAGATATGAAATTTCGTTTTTGTTCTTCAAAAATAAATATATGATGGCAGTTGAAATACAGCAAATCATGCAGCAAGTCAGTAACAATTGAAAACAGAGTTCTGGTGGAGGAAAGTGAAATGAGAAATTAGAGTAACAATGTAGTTTTATTAATCTTGCACAAGTTTCATAAGGCAAGACAGCGTGATTTGAGTTCTTAGCTATTCGCAGCAAAGTTTAAGTTAAAAGCCAAACTTCAGAGTGTTCACAGTCCAAACAATTAAAAAGTAATTACAGGACACTCTAAATTTATTCAAAATACCTCAAAAGTAAATCAAAATCTCTCAAAAGTGAGTAGAAAACTAAAAATGTAAATTAATATATCTCTAAAGTAAATCATAATATCACAAAAGTAAATTATAATAACTCAAAAGTGAATCATAATATAACAATACCAAAAGCAAATTGAAAAGAAAATAAAAAACGTTCTATTGTATATGTAAAATGAAATCACGTATAGAAACCGAGTCATCTACTTTTATATCGTTCTAAAAATCAATAGTAATCAATTAAGAGAAAAGTATATGAGTTGAGGTTAAAGTAAAGGTTTTCAAATTTAAATTAAATAAATCAATGTAAAAAGTGGATTTTATATTTTGGTAGAAAACTGATTAAACAATTATAGTTATAGTTTCAACTAATAAATAACCTACATGGGAATCGAACCCACTTCCTTTGCGCATTTGCACAATGCTCTACCAATTGAGCTAGTAGGCCAGTATAAACATTCAAAGTATAGAAAAAGTAAATAAAAATGTCACAAAAGTAAAAAAATTATAACAGATAAATATTGTCTGTCTCATTAAACTTGAACATGGCTTTGCATCTGATTGCATCAGCTCACCATCAGACCAACTAAGTGCTCGTCTCAATGCCAATCGATCAATTGTTTCAATCCCAATTTGTCAATTGATCAATTCACCTCAAAAATTTGTCTTTAGAGGTACCTGATCATGCATTATACATTTCCCAATACAAAAATGTATGGTTAAAAGAAACAATCAAACATCATACTCATTTAATCACCAACCAATAACTGAGGTCATCTACATGAATTTCCAACTAAATCTATGTTTTGTAACCTAATATAGTAATATTGACTTGATGATGCGACCTCATCGAAATTAACAGAAGTAATTGCCACTCTATCATATTACCAAATTTCAGTTTTTACTGGGGAATTTCATCAAACACCTGTCGTGCATCCTACAAAACCTTACCTTTCAATAAAACAGAGAAGTAAAGATTAAAACCATGTAGTTAACAACTTAATTACCTATGCTAAATTCATATTCTTTATCCTAATGAAAATCAAAATTGATCATCCACAACTCAAATAAACAGTAAATCAAAGTTCTGTTGTTAGCAATATACTTGTAAAATTATAAGAATTACACCATAATCTCAATCAAGCAATATCTCCACTTTACTATCCTATTCAACTCTCTAACCTACTCAGCAACAATCAGGACACAACACCACACCCCCTGACCACAAATAGCCACATCACTAACACAAGAACTTATTTAAATTTCAATAAATCATCTATATTTGTACAGTATGAATTCGAAAAATACTAAAATAAAACGAATTATATTACAAATAATAACAATAGATCCTTAAATCTCTACCAAAACAACACAAAATATTGATCTGATTATAAATCAAAGAGAAAACACACATTAATCAAATAAAAATAGCAAAATCCCTAATTTTGAACTTGATCGAAACTAAAAAATACTCAAACAAATAATTGGGAAACTCTAATTTCACAATCAAAATCGCAAAAATTGGATTCAAAATCGAATTAAATTTAAGAAACCAATACTAATGACAATCGAATAAACTTACTTGCCCATCAACTTGCTAGAACGATGCATGAAGATGAGAAGATGAAATGTGTAATATTGAGGGTGCGTGAAGAGATTGGAGAAATCACAGGAGAAGAGAGAGTTTGTAGGAGGAGAGAGAAAATTAATTGATGAGAGAGAACTGATAATGGAAAAAGGGACGATTTAGGGTAGTCATTCTGCTAGTTCGATAAATTTACCAAACTGCCATTACTCAACAAAAAGGCGGACAACATCTCAGCCGTCAAATCAAATAATCAATGGCTCAAATGAGTTCATAGTTCCTATTATAGGCCTTGATTCTCACAAGATCTCGATTATATATATATATATATATATATATATATATATATATATATATATATATATATATATATATAAATAGGATCATATGAGAGCACCCTCCTTATATGAGAACCCTATTATATGTGAGGACATATTATAACCGTTGGATTAATTGCATTCAATGGCTACAATTTATCCCAATTAAATGTAATTTTAAATACAATTTTCCAGCATTTTCTCTCTCATCCTTCATTCGACGCACATTTTTTTCTCTCTCCTCCTTCAATTTCTCTGCTCCCTTCTTACTGCTCTCTTCCTTTGCTTTGATTCCTCATCAATTCTGCTTCTAACTTCATTGATTCTTTGTCAAGGTAATTTTCGTTGATTTTAAGTTTGATTTTCATTGATTAAAGTTTGATTTTCGTTGATTTTAGTTTGATTACTTAAGGTTTTTGTCAATTTTTTTTTTGCGATTTTTGGCGATTTCGAGCTTATTAGTTGATTTTAGTTTTAATTTTGCTTCATTTGTTAATTTAGGGTTCTTTATAGTGTAATTCGAACTTTTATATATAATTTCTAAGGTTATGAATGGTTATAGAGATTGATTTTGTCAATTTTGGTACTTGCATTTTACTAATTTGTGCTTAAATTTTGATGCACACTATGTGTTTGACAATATTCCATAATGAATCCTATTGTTTTATCAATTTCAAATGTAGTACATATTTAATTGATGATCTTCTTATTTAATATTCCCCAAGATTCCATTGAGTCTTGACTTCTAGCTTCTAGGTGTTGTGACATTTTTAGCATCAATTTCTACAGTTGTATTGTTTGTGGGTTGTCTTACTTGTGTCTTTAAGTTTTGTTTCCTATTGATGTATGAGGCTTGTTGTCCACATGGTGTCTTTGAACACTGGCTGGCTTGGGTGTTTTAGGATTTTTACTCTATTTTTCTTGCTATATGATATTTGACCTTTGATCACTGGTGCAATATATGATTAAATGGATATCAGTTATTAAATAGACAAAGGTATCCTATTAGTGAACTGCCTTGCAGCAGCTTAAGCTACTTGCAGTATAATTTCAATTCCCATTTTCAAATTTGAATTAATCAAGTTCTATAGAGGCAACCCTCTCTGCAAATGTAAGGGTACTTGATTAGGGGATTTTTATCCACCAATCACCGTCTGACAAGTGGACCAACCAGGTTCCGCCACGTGTCCTTCACGAAGGCCAATAGGAGCCTTCCACGTGTCAATCACAGATACGTCCTCTACGGACCAATTGAGACACGCCACGTGTCCACCCATGCCAAATGGGAAAACCGGCCAACAAGGCCCAATCCTGTCTAGAGGCCCGGTCAGCCCTAGGTTTACCCTAAACCTAGAGAGTGGCACACTTCTCAAGGCTATAAATACTCAATTAATCCTCATTAATTAGGCAGATCAAGAAATCAAGAGAAGAACAGAAACATTACGGAACACTAGTAACCGGCTAATCTCGCTAACGACGCAGATTACCAACATTAAACACTCTCACCTAGAGAGATCTTATTACTTTAATTTCCGTATTAATTACTCCTTAATCAGGTACTAACTTGACCGTTGGAGGCGGAGCTCTCAGGAGTCTCCGTTATTTTGCAGGTACAGGCGTCCGGTTCCAGTCTCGGAATTGTAACTCTCCCGCAGGACATCAGAAAACCCCGAAACATTTGGCGGCGTCTGTGGGGAGAGTACTTCAGAGATGGCATCCAAGTCTGTACCGACTCCTGAAGAGAGGCGTTCCCTAGACGACCCTCAAGTTCAGTCGGACCATGATACCGAAAGTGAATTTGAAGTGGAAACTCATACAGCTCCAGACGGGACCCTAAGGGCCGACGTACCCGTCATACCGAAAGGAGGGAACGGGAGCATCTTCAAACAGGAAGCGAGCCAGCAGGCGCACCGCCTGCTCGGCAACAGCCGACTGATGGGTCTGCTCCCATCACAAGGAACGAACTCATGACCTTCATGAGGGACTTCAAGGGAGAGATTCAAGAGTTGATCAACAAAAAGCCGCCTGCTTCAGTCAAAGAGCAGTCGGCCAAAAAACCTTCCACTTCACTGAAGAGGAAGCCAGTTCAAGGGCGAGAGGCGACTCCTCATCCTAAATCCAAGAAGCGGGAGCCACTTGCTCTTGATTTCACAAAATTCCGTTATCCTACGGGAAATAGGAACCCGGTTCGTCATATTCAGGCGGACGGGTCAAAGCAAACGTTCACATATGCTCGGCTACTGCTAGAGCAGAAGAAGAGTGACCGATTGTCAGAGTCGGCTTCTACTTCAAATTTTCAAGACACTTTGCGAAATGCCTCGATGAGGCATACTCAGTCGTACCATGAGAGTCAGTCAGGCGGCACCTCCCGTCAGTCCGGCTTTCATAGTGCCCAGGCGGTACCAAACTTACCATTTGTGCCGCAACAACAGTATTTTATGCAGCCACCTCCATTTGGTGGACCTGCAGCAAAAAACGTCCAACCTATGGACTGGCAGCTACGGCTGCTTAGACTTGGTGAACAGCCGTCGGCCTTCTCCAAGGAAATTACTGAAGCCGCTCAGCCGGCCAAAGTAAAAAATGTACTAGTAGGCGCCTATGACGGCACTACTAATCCAGAAGACCATCTGATGGCATTCACCAACCTGATGTACCTTCAAGGGTTGGATGATCCCACTTGGTGCAAGTGTTTCCCAGCGACTCTCAAGGGAATCGCACAGCAATGGTTCGGCAACCTGCCGACTGGTTGTGTAAACAGCTTCAGGACGCTTGCTTACTTATTTGCCTCCAACTTCGCTATGAACATCCCTGCGAAGAAAACGACCCTTGATTTGGGAACAATTCAGCAGGGCGAGAAGGAGGGGCTTCGTTCTTACATCAGGCGGTTCAACCTGATGAGAATACAGATTCAAGGGTTACCGGATGAGGTAGCTTATACTGACTTTTTTAGAGGTCTCAAAGACGGGTCTACCTTCAAATTTGATTTAGTTCGAAAAAGGGTGGCTACTCTTCAAGAGGCCTTGATTGAAGCAGAAGCCTATATACAGGCGACTGATCTGTGTACGATAAAACAGTCGGACGGGAAAAGGTTCGACAAAAGAGACGGACGACAGAAACAGTCGTCTAACAAAGATGA